GTAGGGCATGCTGGACAATTTCTTCACAGATCAAGAGGAGACTTGAAACAACAGCGATGTCGTCCTACAGAAGGATACTGAGAATACCATGGACGGAATGAGGATGTTTAAGGAAAATGGAAACGAAAAGGCTATTTTTACTTAGAATCGAAAATAGAGAGCTGAAATTTCTGGGATGCACAATGAGGAAAGAAGGATTAGAAAATTTGAAACTCACATGAAGACAAGGAGACAGAATAAAACAGCGGGTAAACTATCTAAGTAGCTTGTGTAAATCGATGGCAGAACAAAGAGAAAGAGTAATAATAAAAATAATAAATAATAAAGAAAGAGTGATAATAAAAATAATAATAATACTGTTAAGATCTATAAAAAAGAGGAAATTGTGGAGAACCATGATCGCTTATGTCCTGAATAATTACGTCACATAGAAGAAGAAGAAGAAGAAGAAGAAGAAGAAGAAGAAGAAGAAGAAGATTGTTAAGCTTCTAAAAGTTGGTTAATAAAACAAATTCTAATGTTAAGAGAAACTTGGTATATAAAGAATTTTATAGAAAACAAAAAGACGTCTGTTCATTAAAACGAAAATCGCCATTATCTAAAATAATCATTTACATTTCTCTGCGCACAGGGTCGCTTTCATTGTGAACTCTACTGTTTAACACTGTGAGCCTGATCCTTTTTTTGTAATAGACGAAGTAATTAATCCCAAGAAGATAAAATTTACTTCTGTATTAAAGCATATATACAGAGCTAGACGTATGCTTAGTGGAAGAAATAGTTGCAGGCTTTCACATATTTCAGAGCCGATAAAAAAAAAAACAGATAGCCTTTAAATTACGCCAAATTTAGTGAATCCATAGCGAAGTAAATGCCCTACAAATATTCCAGTGTTTAGAAAAAAATAATTCCACAGAAGCAAATGTGAAAAGTAGAATTATTTTACTCTGAATTAAAATTTTCTCTTAAAAAAGCTTGATTGGAATAAAATCGACGTAAATGACAAAAACGGTTTAATTGGAATATGGTCTTTTTATAAGCACTAGAATTTTATTTGGTAACACACTGACGAGTGTTAAAATCCTCACAGTATTAAGTATTGTTGAAGTAATCGCTAACTTTTTGTTGGGCTTTACAGACTCTGCGTTTCATTTAGTTTCACAAACCAATCGATGAAATTTGAATAAGATGATTTGTTTGGAAAAATACTTAAAATACAAACTTATTTTGCGGTTTAATAAGTTTTTTAATTTTCTTTAATTCTTTATGACTTCATGGTAAACAATATTTTAAAGAAAAATTCTCTTTTTCCTTTCTAACAACGAAGAATACATTATTAGGATTTCTTACTCTTGAGCATGCAACATACAACTGGTCATGCGTAAATATTTCTTTCTGGAGTCAAATTCAAACTTTTTGAAGCGTTTGCCCATGTGATTTGTTTATAGTTCTCGCAAATGCTGGGCGCGCTGGAAACTGGATTCTTGTATATATAAAACTTAAAGAAAAGATATGCAAAACACAATATTGCATTTTTATTAAATAATTATTTGTTATTTTAATCATTAAATTGTTGGGTTTTTTTTAAAAGTAGGAGCATTTTGTATATTAAATAATAAAATTTTACGTTTTTCCCAAAAAACCAATAAACATTTAACGTATTAAACCACGCATATATATATATACATTAAGAATTGGACAAAGTCCGACAATTTATTAAAGATATTTTTATGTTTAACATTCTTTTTATAGATACAAGTATTTAAGTAAATGCTCTGTTTATAATAAATGTTATTTAATACTGTTTATTATAATAAATATCATTATATTATAATAAATGTTATTTAATACTGTTTATTATAAACAGAGCATTTCTTAAAATATCTATAAAGAATAAATATAAAATATATTATATATATATATATATATATATATATATATATGTGTAGATTACGACTGAAAGTGATATGCTCTAGTTTTCTTTAAATGCATGTTAATTTTTGAGGGCACAATTCTCGTGTGTTGGGTGATTCGTTTTGTTTAGCGACATATCAACATCTATGGATTATTTATGCTGAAATCTAAATATTTTGTTCGTGATCTTTATTTATTTATACAAGTTTTACTAATTGACCTATAGCTGGGGGAGAAAAAGTGAATTCATACCTTTCCCAAGGGTATTTCCGTAAAAGTGAATATAACGAACCTAATGGGAATCGGAACTCTGCTCTCCGATTAACAAGCCCGAGCCATTATCCATTACACCATCCGCACATCCAAACTTACAGCACCTGGTGTTCCCAAGCGGTGACCCAGGCTCGACGTTGGTTAATTTCGGTTATTCTACGTGAACCGGTGTTACAACGTGATATGGCCGTAAGCCTACATTTTTTAAATCTATTGTGGCTTGTGTGGATGAATACGTACATTTGCGTTCAGATTCGTTTAAGTATATTTTGATCGATGCCTGTAAGCATATACATTGAGAAATCTCAAAATGCGCTAAAGTTCTGATAATTATACCTATATTATATATAGTATATTTAGGCAGCATTTTTTTTATTGATGCATGTTTCATTAAATAATATAGACAAGTGCTGTCTATTTATTTTATGTAAATTCTTTTCATAACGTCTGATAAGCTTAATAACATTATCATTAAACGAAGAAAGAAAATCACAATATTGATCCATATTTTTTAATCCAATCTAAGCTTTCGGCTTACATAAGCCATTATCAAAGATGACAATTACATTACAATATATTAAACAATACACGGACAAAACGGTCTTTTCCAAGCAAAGACAAACTCGTGCATATAAGACGCTGGAAGCGAAAATCGCCCTGCAGCTCATGACGTCACACATGACCACACCAGAGTGAAAACGAGAAGTATTAAGTATGAGAAGCCGTTGGTATAAAGCAATGGCTTCTGTTCTAATTATAGGCATTTAAGAATATTTGTGGAGATTTCATAGTTTATTTTGTTCAGGTTAGCTTCAAGAATTTTTAGTTTTTGTTTAAGTATAGCTGTGTTTTAAACAAGGATTTTCCGGAATTGACACTACATTTGAATGATTATTCTAACATTTTTAGGCAATTAAAACATGCTTGGCTGCATACACAATTCCGGAAAATCCTTGTTGAAAACACAAATATCCATGTATAGAATATGAATATCTTTTTTTAATCATTTCACCCCAAACAAGGCAATAAAGCCACTAAGACGCAAACAGTTACCAAGTTTTAGAGAATATTAGAAAAAGAGAATGAACACTTAAAATAATAAGAATTAAGAAAACAGTAGACAGCGATTCACATTGCATTTAAATTTTTGTAGATAAAAGTTGACTGGGAAGTAAGAATCCGGAAGAGTGTTCCACAAGTAAGAAGTGCAAGAATGTTAGCATGTAACTTTTGGCTATATCTAGCCATTTCAACTGTAAAATGATGAGACTTTTCTGCCAATCTAGTACTGCGCTTAAAATACTAAAATTCCGTAGAGGAAAGTTCAGAAGGACAATTGCCATGAAAGTATTTATAGAAAAGGCACAGGGAAGCTACATCACGAGAGTGGGAAAGTGATTTAAAGCGAGATGTTAGGTCAGGACCAATAACATTGCTGATTCTTCTTTGGATTTTATCAAGAATTTGTTCATTCCTTATGAAAAGCTTACGTGTTAATATAACTGAATGGAAAGGCAAATTCTTCGTTGTGAAGTATTTTAGAAATATTTTCTTTTATTCTTTATCTCTGAGCAATAAAACAACAAGAGTTTGTCTGCTTTTGAATCCCTATCAAAAGAGCCCTTTAACTATACTCTTTCTGGTCTGGTATGATTAGGAAACTTTACCTCTCCAATACGGTTGAATCAAATCGTCGAAAGGCTCTGAGTTACTATTGCCATTGTCGGAGAAATACAGAAAAGCAATTGTCTGATTTCCGTGGCAAAGGAAATTCTATTTCAGATCGTCAACACTCGGCTACTGTTAATAAGCAAATTAAATCAAGAGTGATGAACTTGATTGTTCAAACCGAAATACAAACAAAACGGTCAAATCTGAAGAAAGGGATGATAGATTTAGCGGTGCAACGAACCAGATCAAAAGTCAATTTCGAATACGCGAAATACAATCGGCATGCAATTTGAGCGCTATATCGGTTCATTCGTTGTTCCTTTCAGTTCAATTGTATTTATTTTCTCGACAAAAGGAGAAGAGTAAAAGAAAGTTGGTAGAAATGACAATATCAAAGGCCAACGGACTGAAATGAACAAAATGAAAAGCAAATGAGAGATTTGAAGGGGAAAAAATAAATAGATAGATAAAGAGATTTGAGTAATCTAAGGGACTGGCATTTCTGTTAGAAACAAGAGGAAAGGATTAAACAAACCAGGGAAGAAGGTTTCTAGAAAGAGAAGAAAAGAAAAGAATAATGCATCGACGAGAACAAATGGCAAAGAATTACTTTGACTGATTTTCTACGACTTATCAACCCAAGTTTATTTACACTATTTTCATTGTTCGGACTGCTGTCCTAATCGTTATTGTCATATTCACGACGTTTCTGCCGTCGTACGCACCGGCCTTCTTCAGGTAATATACGTTGAAATTTTGAACCGAACCCTTTATTTCGTTCACCGGGGTAGATTGTTCTAGTTCCAAGTGCTATATTTTTTCTGGATTATCAGTTTCAGTTAATTAGTAACATAAGTTTTTTTCACATCTGCTGTGGCCAAGTATTGAACTTACAAATTTAAAATTATTTAAAGCCATAAAATATTTTTAGATTGTAAGATTTTTTTTTGGAAATAATAATGATTTAGTGATACACGTCTTACTAATTAACCCATAGCTAGGAGGGGGAGAAGGAATGGATTCATACCTTTTCCAATGGTATTTGAACGTAAGTGAATATAACGAACCCTACTGGAATTGGAACTCGACACACCGCTTAACAATTCTGAGCTATTATCCATTACACCATCCACACATCCAAGATTGCAGCACATGGTATTCCCAAGCGGTTACACATCTACGTACTGACCAGGCTTGACGTTGGTTAACTTCGGTGATCGTACGAGAATAGGTGTTTCAGCATGAAATGGCCGTAAGCCCGAATTACGAAGAAAGATGTAATGTAATGTGGAGTTTACAGGAGGTGATGCTGAGAATGTGTCAGCCTGATTTTCTTTTGGAGGGGTGCCTGGGGGTTAAAGGCTTCTTGCTCATACTTAGAACCTCTCATCAGTAGCAAGTAGTTTAAACTATTCATAAGTAAATATATATATATATATATATATATATATATATATATATATATATATATATATATATATATCTCTTCTTTCCCCTCCAGCAATGGGTAAATAGCAGGACAAACCGGGTTCTATAGCCTTGGATGGCAACTGGTCTTGGAGAAGGACAACTCTGAATTCAAAACCTGCGCAGGGTCGTTTGGGGACCTTGTGGCACGTATATATATATGTATGTATGTATGTATCTATGTATGTATCTATGTATGTATTTAAGCAGCAAGTGTATTTTAAACAAGTTTTTTTATTGCACAATACTGATTCTTAATTTAACATATAAAAATAATTGAAAAGATTGTCGGTGCTTTATACAGTGTAAACATAGTTCAATTTGAATTCTTCTTGGCTTATGAAACTGAAAATGGAAAATAAAACCTATATTGAAAGGTTTTCCTTTTCAGTTTTATAGAAATACCAAGGCCGGTTCCTCTTTCATTTCATTGATTGCCATTTCTGCAATCACTTTTTTTCTTAAATCTTGTTTCACATAAAATAATAAACTGAATAAAATCGGTAGATTTTCAAATTTGGATTTAATAACCGAAATGGTTTCGTGTCAGCCTTCTCTTTACTTTGGAATATTTTTGCCATCTCACTTATTTATCGAGAAGGTAGAAAATGAAAATGAAATTGTAAATGTCAATAGGAAGCATGGAAAGAAGTACAAAAATGTGAGGAGAACGTAAAGTAAATGATGAATTAGAAAAGGAATCCAAAATATAAGTCTGAAAAGAAAAATCTTTCAAAGATTTTGTCCTGGGCAAGATGATAAACTACATCCAGCGGCAAAGCCTCGGGAAGTTTTGAGGAGCGTGAAATCATCTCTTAATTGCTGGTGTTCCCAGGTCCACCTATAACATAAAAATAACAAATGAAAAGATTGTAGGTACCGTTAGGGCTCCAGCTATAGTAAAAATACTATGAAAGTGTAAAAATAGGTTTTATTACCAGAAATACTTATAAAATTATTACCAGCAATACATTTTTGAAGAAAAAATATTACCAGAAATACATTTTTGGAAAAAGAAAATATTACCAGCAATACATTTTTGAAGAAAAAAATATTACGAGAAATATATTTTTGGAAAAAAAAATATTACCAGAAATAAATTTTTGGAAAAAAAAAAATAAAAATATTACCAGCTATACATTTTTGAAAAAAAAATATTACCAGAAATACATTTTGAAAAAAAAATATTTTACAAAAAATACATTTTTGGAAAAAAATATTACCAGAACAACATTTTGGAAAAAAAAATATTACCAACAAACATTTTTGAAGAAAAATATTACCAAAATATATTTTTGGAAAAAATTTTGGAAAAAAAAATTATTACCAGCAATACATTTTTGAAAAAAAAAATATTACCAGAAAAAAAATACATTTTTGAAAAAATTTTAAGAAAAAATATTACCATACATTTTTGGAAAAAAATATTACCATTTTGAAAAAAATACATTTTTGAAAAAATATTACCAATACATTTTGAAAAAAAATTACCAACAATACATTTTGAAATACATTTTGGAAAAAAAATATTACCAACAATACATTATGGAAAAAAATATATTACCAGCAATACATTATTGAAAAAAAAATATTACCAGAAATACATTTTTGAAAAAAAAATATTGCCGGAAATATATTTTTGGAAAAAAAAATATTATCAGCAATACATTTTTGAAGAAAAAATATTACCAGAAATATATTTTTGAAAAAAAAAATATTACCAGTTAGAAAAATTTGTCGGCATTAAATAACCCATAGAGGTTGATATGCTGTAAAACAAACCAAACCAAATCAAACCAAACCGTTTCAAAGTTTCACATTGCTAAATGATAATGATAATATTAGCCGTTTCCTTATAAGGAAACATTCGGTATTCATTGACTGAGGAGTCAGTTTTCTATTAAATTTTTTTTTCAGGAAAATCGGTTTCTCACGTACAGTAACTGTTATTGCCTCTTCCGGTACTGATGGAGTCTTCCTTCCTAACCTTTTGTTTGAATTACTGTTGAACGTCAACATCTTCATTATGTCATTATTTTCTCTTCGACTTTCATGTTATATCCATTTTAGTTGTTGCTGCTGTTGAAAGTCCTCAAGTGATTGGTTTCTGTTATTTGGTATAGTTCTTTGTGATTTTGGGGCGCCAATCCACAATGATCGGAGATGCATTGTCTTGCTAAGAGCTAGCATTCAATCGCTCGAATTCATGTTTTTAACGATTGATATGAAAAATCAGTTGTATACAGATTAGATATTTTTTAACGAGTTTGGCATCCATATATGAAAGATTCGATTATGACCATTTCAACATATTTTTCTTTAGCATTTCTGGTTTAAATTTTTTTACATATTTATCCTGAATGGTTTCATTAACGTTTTAAAAAGGTTCGCTTTCACTAAAAAATCAAATACAGAGAAAGAAATATCGAAATAAGCTACAGATTTTTAGAAATTAAAATTATATTTGGAAAACTGAGATTTACAATTAAACATAATATCTAATTATATAAAAGTTCGTGCACTTTTTTACGTTTAAAATTCTCCTTTAGTGGCTACCTTAGAACAACCAGGGATATAAAATTAAATGAATCCTACCATGACTCGAACGTCCAATCCGGAGATAATTAAGTTTAATTAGATTTGTTTTCTGCTGTCTAATTGTGTCAGGAAAATGACTAAGGAATACTATTTTTTATATGTTTATTACTAGTATTAGTACTTTTTTTCAATTAGTATTGATGTTTTAAATTCACTTTAAACAACAAAAAATAACTTTGACATTTTCTTTGAATTTTTATAAAATTTTAACAAGACAGTAATCTCTTTCAAGTTTAAAATCATCAAATACTTCATTTGAGATAATTTTATAAAAGGAAAATAAAGTAAAATAATTTTTTACTAAATTCCACCAAATACAAGGCTTGAGAGCCAATCAAGTTAGGGATATCCAGCTGAAACGATAATGATGAATGAAGTGTGTGATATGAATGAAAGCGGAAGTGACAGAAAGTGAAGATTATGAAGACAAGGAGGAGGGATAAAGATTGACCCTTGACTTAAAAAGGTTAAGATTTGAAAGTTGCAGTACTTGGGGAAAAAGCTGTGTAAGTTGAACTTTCTTCTTATATTTGGAATACGGAGGAAATGAGGGTGATTTGCCCCAGGAGTAGTAACACGTTTATTGAAATTCCCAGTGGAACCTTTTATTCGAACCGGTAACCTTATAAAATTCCTACCGGCATGACTATTCAAGAAGACACTAGGGACAAAAGAATAGATAGATAGATAGATAGATAGATAGATAGATAGATAGATAGATAGATAGATAGATAGATAGAAAGAAAGAAATAATTAAACTCGCCAATATATAGATGGAAAAGTCGAAAATTGCCAGATGCAGGATTAAATTATTCTCTTTGATTTTTCTCCATCACGGCACGGTGCTTATTTCGGACGGCACGCTTATAATTTTTCAAAACATTTACCAGCATTATTATCCGAGCAAAATGTTCTTTAGTCTACGGGTGTTTGATTGATTTTGTTGAGCGGCACATCAGCCTCCATGCGTTTTTGAATTTTAAAATCTAAATATTTTTATCAATTTTATAACTTCAACTAAATATATTTTGAATCCAATTGTACGTCTTCAACTACAGATAAAATGTATTTTTGGTATTTTTTTATATATATATATAAACATTAATTGCTTGTATTTTAACTGCAAAAATGTATTTTTATACTTTCATAATGTTTTGTCTTTCTTGGTAGAAGTCAATATTTTCCCATAGCTGGGACCCTAACAGGTGTTACCACCGCGAATCAGTTAAGCGAAGCAATTAAAAGGTGGTTCCACGCTCCTCAAATATCCAGATCAGGGACCTTGCTGCCGGATGTAGTTTATCGTCATACCTAGGATGATAGATTGTCCTCGTTCTTCTGTCCATGTTTAAAGATAGCTTATTTTGTTCTTATTTATTTTTGTCCCATTATTACTGAACACGTTTCCACTGTACGACCCGGCTCAGAGTTTAAACCCACAATTACTATGTTACTAAAATTCACGAACGAAAATTTTAATCAGTTAAGCTAAATTTATATTCACTTTGAAATTCCTTGAAGGTTATATGGATCGACAGATATCTGATGAAGATCACGGAGTGCAACAGCCGAAACGTTGTGATAATAACAATAAAAATGAGGAAATTAATAATGTAAATAATAAACTCCGGTATCATGTGTATATATTCCTGGCTTAAGTGGTCTTCGTATTTTCTAAGAACAGAGAAAGAGAGGATGTTAATGCGAACAGGCATATATGAGGAAAAAATGCGAGAGGAAATGGAATAAAAAAGAAAAAAGGTTTAATTAACCAAAGGAAGCAGAAATAAAATATTCAAATCAATAAAAGCATTGTGCGCGATTCTAAAATCCTACCAAATAATCCGTATTAATTATGAGATAGATTTATATGAAATAGCACATCTGAAGCCACACAAGTCTTCCTGTCACAAAAGCAATCCATTGCTTCTCTCGTGTGAAATGCGGTTAAAAGCCACCGAGACTTTCGACGGCTTAATGTGTAAAGTTCTTATGAATACATTAGAAATTCTATCAGAAAAGAAATTATGGATAACATCACACTTAAAGTGCGATGTCAATTATCTTCCGCTAAAAGATGCTCCAAACAGGAATATTTAATAAATGAAATGCTTTCTTTTGTCTGCTTTTTTCATCCACCCGATTTTTTTTTAACGGATTGGTTGTTGAATCATTTTTTGGCGACAAAAAA